CCCCCACGCTTCAACTCTCTAGTGTGTGGACATTCTCGAGAAATGGCAGTCCTCGTCGACAGCAACAGGTGTCGGTGGAGCGGAAACGATCGCCGCCGTCGAGGAACTGACAGGAATTTTGACGAGCTACGACATGGAGGCCCTCCTCCTCACCCACGACTCCATCATCTCGTACGTGGATGGACTGCAGAGGAAACAGAGTCCCTCGTCCTCGTCGCCGAGCGGTCCACCGAGCCCCACTTCCAGCTGGAGAGGCTCACGGGTCGTGGACAACATTAAAATTATCAGAATCGAGAAAACTAACGAGCCTCTTGGTGCTACGGTCAGGAACGAGGGTGACGCGGTTATAATAGGTAACGTGATTCGTTCCTCGTGAGTCGAGGTTCGTGTCGTATTCGCCGATTTTTTGTTAACTTCAACGTTTTCACGAAGGGCGTGTCGTGAGAGGAGGCGCGGCCGACAAGTCCGGACTTTTGCACGAAGGGGACGAGGTTCTCGAGGTGAATGGCGTGGAGATGCGTGGCAAAAGCGTGAACGAAGTGTGCGATATTCTGGCTGGTATGCAGGGCAGTCTAACCTTCCTCGTGCTCCCGGCACCCACGAGTCACAGGAACAATTTGTCGAATAGAAGGGAAGATACGAATCAGGTAATGGAGAAACTATTCGAGATCAGCTTTTGACTTTTTGATCCTCACCGGTATCGTGTTTTCCAGATACAACACATACGGGCCCACTTTGATTACGACCCCGAGGAAGATCCTTATATACCGTGCCGAGAATTGGGTGTCAGTTTTCAAAAGGGTGATGTGTTGCACGTGATCTCTCAAGAGGATCCCAATTGGTGGCAAGCGTATCGAGAGGGTGAAGAGGATCAAACTCTGGCTGGTTTGATACCAAGCAAAGCCTTTCAGCATCAGTACGTGAACCTTCTTTTTATCTTCTTCTTGTTCTTCCAAGAACGCGTCGTTTAATGTTTTGTTTTCTTTCTTTCTTCTTCTTCTTCTTTTTTTTTAATTTCACGCAGGCGAGAATCAATGAAGCAAACTATCGCTGGTGATAAATCGACGGTACGCGGTTCTAAGAAATCCAGTACGTTGTTGTGCGCTAGAAAGAATCCAAAGAAAAAGAAACGGAACAAGTTTGGGGCAAACTACAACGACGACGGGTATCCGCATTACGCAACGACTGCCATCGACGGTAGGTCGATAGATTATAGTATAAGTACAAATGTTTGCTGATCAAACATTTATATTTCCGTAGATTACGACAGCGAGGAGGTACTTACTTACGAGGAAGTCGCGTTGTACTATCCTAGGGCGAATCACAAAAGACCGATAGTCCTGATAGGGCCACCAAATATCGGGCGACACGAGTTGAGACAAAGGTTGATGCACGACAGCGAGCGTTTCGCGGCTGCTATTCCTCGTAAGCTCTTTTTACATTCGTATCGTATTTGTACTCCTTTTTAAAACATCTTCAAATTGATGCCTAAAATATCTAAAAATCTATTTCCCGTTCCAGACACGAGTCGTCCAAGAAAGGACTCGGAAGTGGACGGACAGGATTACCATTTCATTTCTCGTTCTCAATTCGAATCCGATATACTTTGTCGAAAGTTCGTCGAACACGGCGAATACGAGAAAGCTTATTACGGCACCTCCGTCGAGGCTATACGATCCGTAGTTAACTCTGGTAAAATCTGTGTTCTTAATCTCCATCCGCAGAGTCTGAAGATCCTGCGAAACTCGGACTTGAAACCGTACGTGGTATTCGTCGCGCCGCCAAGTTTGGAGAAACTTCGCCAAAAAAGGATCAAGAATAACGAGAGCTTCAAGGAGGAGGAATTGAAGGATATTATAGAGAAAGCACGGGAAATGGAGGATAAATACGGGCATCTGTTCGACATGATCATCATAAACACAGATACGGATAGAGCGTACAATCAGCTGCTGACGGAGATTAATTCGTTGGAAAGGGAGCCTCAATGGGTGCCTGCTTCTTGGGTTCAGTAAAAAGAAAAAAAAAAAAAAAAAAGAAAAGAAAAGAAAATGGAACGGAGCAAAGTTTTTTTTTCGTAACACCAAGCCAAATTTCGCTGAGACAGCGGAAAGGCCAGTAATCGAGAGAGGCGGGTTTAAAGTCTGATTTGGAAAAAAGTCACTTTCCAAGGACTGGTTCTTTTACTGGTGCCTGTTATACATTTTAACGTTTCGTACACGCGCGTTAATTAAACGATTCCTTGCCAGGCTATCGTACTCCAAGTACCGCTGGTTTCGTGTAGTCTTCCGTGTCGTATATATGGTGCCATCTGAATATTCGAAGATCGTCGTCAGCAAGATCACTGTACAAAGAGCGTCGAAAATTCGCGTGATTTCTCGTTCCTTGATTTACGTATTCGAGCGGGATTCTTGACGTTTAAAAACGAATCTCGAGGAATCGTTGGATCATGACGCTCGTTTTTCACCGTATCAGCCGTAATAAACGCTCTGGTTTTTCCCGAGGATTTTACTCTGCATAATTTATACCGACGAGACGTCCCGGGAAAAAAGTTGCTACTACTTTTGCGCATAAGATATATTACGTATAATATTTTCCCAAAGATGTGTGAACTTGAAAGAGATCATTCTTCTCTTCTCTTTAAAAATCACCAGATTTCTCCAGAATACACCGAGCCCTGAAAGGAAAAAGAAAAGCAAAAAACGAAAAAAAAAAAAAAAAAAACGGAAAACGCGAAAATCTTAAATCTTACGAGAGCAGCCTTTTACCTCGCAAAGACTCGAAAGACTTTTCGCGTTGTTCACAATTTTCACGATAATCCTCCTCCTCCTCCTAAGGAGAGCGCGTCCCTATCGCTGAGTTTTTTAAGTACAAAAAAAAAAAAAAAAAAAAGAAAAAAGAAAAAAAAAAAGAAAAGAAAGAAAGGAAAGAAATATTTCGCAAGACTTTGCAAGTTGTTAACCACGTAAACCACGTTTCCTCGTATTCGTAATTTTTGTGTGAAACTAGTAATTTCGAAGAAGGCGGAACTCATAAACGTTTCATCGTTCACTCTAGGCAATCTCTTTCTCTCGTGTTTATTTAGAGGAAAGAACCATAACTTCTAATCCAAGTAGACCTCGTTAATACAATATAGACTTAGGCTCGTGTGTAAACCAGCGTAAACGAATTTTTAAGACACTTTGGAAAGAAACAAATTTTTTTTCTCTCTCTCTTTTTTTTTTCCTGCCCCTCTTATTTTTGCCTTTGAAAAACCGTTTTTTTTTCTTTTTTTTCTGTCCAGTATCAAACTTTCATATCAGCCATGTATCCATATACCACCTTCTTTACTCGATTAGCAATAACAACACAGGATGTTTTTCGAATCGAAAATCCTCGCAAAAACAAAAAATATGATATCGTGACTCCTAAACGAAAAGAGAAAAATTAAAAAAGAAAAAAAAATCGACGATCGATCGTTTTTAGTTGAGGAAAGAAATTTTCTCAAGAGTAGTTTCATTCGTTGATGTCGTAAACCCAGCTAGAAGCGAAAGATTGTTTCCAGTGAGAGAAACGTGAAAAAAAAAAATACTAATTGCTACCTTTTTAGTCCACTATTTAAGAAGTTACGTTAAGAAATCACGCACGATGGTCGGAGTATTGTGCCAAGTAATTAGACCGCGTGTCGAAGAGAACGTGAAATGTGCCAAAATATTTGAAGAAAAAGAAAGAGAAAGAAAAAAAGAGACGGAATGTGAGAGGGGCAAAGGAGGGAAAAAGGAAAAGAAGAAATACTTGGGAAACACGCTCAACGGCACTTTCGTGTATTTGTCGTTATATTAATTCTGTAAATATTTATGCACTTGTATAGAACAAAAAAGATGAATGAATAAGAAGTTATTATCGTTATTATCGTTATTATTATTATTATTATTATTATTATTAATATTATTAATTGTATTAATTATTATTATCATTATCGCTTCGATTATCCTCGTTATTACTCGTCATCGTTATCAACCGTACTCTTATTTTCGACCGATTGAAACACAACAAGGTTAAATAACGCGAACGAAGGTCAGTAAAACGATTGTACTTTTTTTAAACGGCTAATTCTAAAATTATCGACAACAGCCATTTTTCTTTTTTTCTTTTTTAGTTGGACCCGTGCTCGAGTACAGCATCATTAATGAATCATTAATGATTAAAAACCCATTTAAAATTTCCCTAAGTAATGCGTTAACAGCACGCGCAATGTACAGAAAGTCTGATCCTTTACAGGAATGATGCCTGTTCGAAGTGTGTATACGCTATATTATTGCGAGTATTTTTTTCGACAATCCTATTTGATTTTATGTGTACAAAATAAAACGTACAACTTCAAAGAGGAAAAATGTATGTATAGGTGCATATACTTTGTATATACGTATACAGTACGCACACATGTATCGCGAAGAATCGAAGGAGAAACGAATATCAAAAACCGACCATTGTTGTTATCACGAGTTAGCTATTTTTATGCCTTCCGTTTACATCCAACCGTTCTTCCCTTCAAACCTGTGTGAAAGTGTACGAAAGTGAAAGAAAGTTCAAAACGAATTATACGAAGTATTTTTTCTTGTTCTTTTTTTTTTCTTTTTCTTCTTCGTTTCTTAAAGTCTCCTTGTATTTTGCGACATCTCGTGTTTAGAGAAGATCGATATCGTAGAAACCTGTAATATCGTTTAGAAGTCTGTGATGTGTTAGAATAATCGAATCGTTGTGTAGATCGTTTAATACGAGGGCGGAATCGTGGACACGTGGAATCGAACGAAAGGTACGAGCGCCGACGATGATGGAGATCGAGACTATTATTTGCATTTTAAAATTCGAATGAACCAAAAATAGTGCGCGATATAATTAGCAATAACGAGACGCGAAAGTAATGTACACGGTGTTAAGTACACAATCGCGTTAAACATTCTAAAGGAAATGAGAAGAGAAAAAAGAAAGGCTAAAATTAAATTGAAATTAATTAATATTAATATCTATATGTTGTATCATTTAAGTAGATCATGGATAGAAAATGAATCAATTGCTGTCAAAAGAAGAAAAAAGAGAAACAAAAAAAAAAGTGGCCATTTGTTTGATTAATAGAAAAAAAAAAGAAAAAATTCGGGAGATGCGTTTTATTCAGAATAGACCTTGGAATTGAATTCATTCGCGGTTAAATTGTTTGTTCAAACGTATTATGTAAATAGGTGATGAAACAAAATTATCTTCGTATAAATATTATATACACATATGTGTATATATATATATACACACACAAATGCAGGATTTCAATTTCAAATCAGAGCGAACGTTACAGAAATCAACAGGCAGTGTTCAGTATTTCGCCCCTTCCCTCCCCCTTCCTCTCTTCCCAGTTTCTTTCATATTCTGTAATAGTATATTACATTGAATAAAAATTATTGTAATATTTCTAAAGCCGCTTCAACTTCACACGTAAAAACTCGATCGATTATCGAATTGTTTGATTTTTTTCTTTTTTTTCAGAAATTGTAAACAGATAAAGACACGAATAGAGAATTCAATTAAAGGATCGGGATGAATTATTTTAAGATATGAAGAGAATAAAAGAAAAAAAAATAATAAATAAGGACAAAAATCGAATCGAAGAGTTAAGTACAATAAATTTTTTTTTTCAAGGCGCAAGATAATCAAGGTAAACGAAAACGATGAACGTTTTCAATTTTTTTTCCAAAAATATCGTTATAAATTGCGAAAATTTGACTTGATCCGAATAATAAAACCGACTGTACAGGAAATTCTCGTGTTATACTACGAACGTTTTGTTTCTATTTTTATCTCTTCTTGAGAAGTTTACGATATTATCGAAGCTTCTCGTTGCTCCTAGCCGTTCCTATCCTATTGCTCTACATTGTGCAAAAACTTCCTTCAATCTCAGCTATACTGTATTGTAAATCGATTCAACGACATTCTTTTTTTTTTTTTTTGATCTTCTTTATAAAAGGAAAGGAAATTTTTCTATTTTTAATCGAATTAAAAATATCCAAAAAAAAAAATTTCTCATAAAAGAAAAGTAACCACACGATCATTAGTAAAGATGACTAGTGCTGGCATCAGCACGCTTCGAATCCTTTCAATTCAACAAATGGAGGTTGGAGAATCAATAATCGAGATCATTTTCTGCGCAAGTTTCTTAGCCACGAGCACGATGAATTTCTGCTAGATCGAACGAACGTTACACAAAGAAGCAGGAAAAAGTCGTAACTGGAAAAGAGAAAAGTAAAACGAAAATTACCGGGGCTAAGATTACGAAGGAAGTTGCGAGGAAGATTCTAAGTCTAGAACTATTAGTCTTCTTTATTGTCGATAGAAAAACTGTTCGACCCGTTTGTTCATGAATAATAAATCAAGAAACTCTATGGACGCAATAACATATATATATATATATATATATACTTTCCCAAGGAAATTCATATTCGAATGAAAATTCCAAAGGGAAGGACCAGTTGCGCTTGGTCTCAAACTTCTTTCCCTCTTCGAAGGAAATTGACGGAGGGACGAATACGTTCGAATCGATAGCCCCGGTTGAAGTCGACGACGGGACGAGGCGTTTCGCGTCCGCGTTTTGAGGCCATTGCTAGCGAAGGGTGGCCAGACGAGGAGGAAGGGGGCAGCGGAGAAATAGAGAGGGCGACGTTAAGGGCGGGGAAGGCGGGGGTGGGTGTCGTGTACGCGCATGTTTCTTCTCCGCGAAACGGATCGATGCTGGAAATAGCTCGACCCGCAGGAGAGTACGAGGTGAGTCGGCTTCGCTTTCGGCAGGGCCTTCGCAGCTCTTCACCGCTCGCCGTTTCCTGTTTCACGAATCGTAGGGGGAAGCGTAACTCCACGTAGAGTCTCCACAATCTCTTCTCGTATTCGCGAGCTTCCCTTCGACCGTCACCGATCGATCACCGCCGGTTTCCTCATCGACCTCGTTCTTCCTCTTCCCCCGGACAGTTTCCATCCGGCTCTCTCTCATTTTCTATACTTCTTCTTGACGCGCAGTCATCTCGATTTCAACCCCAATTTCTATCTTTCTTTCTTTCTTCTTATTTTTTTTTTTTTTTGGTTGCTCGTTTCTTCGAGTGTGTGTCTTCGACGATTCATCCATCCATCGCAAGTGGATAAAAAGAGAAAGAGAGAGAGAGAATCTCGATCGCGGGATGACTCGAAAAAAATGTGCGTCGTACCGATGTGGCTGACGAGGCTGGAATCGTAAGTACAAATAGAGTAGTGGAGCCGAGACACGGCTTTATTTTTTTTTTCGAGATTACATAGATAGCGATTCGCGAACACCAGTGCAAAACGTGGCCGCAATGATACGTCACCTATAACGCTTTCATCGTTGCCTCTTGATTGATCCGCCTCGGTGAACTACACTTCACTCGCTCTCGTAACAACCGATCCTTTCCAACTATTCGACTCCTTAGACTCCGTATCCACGAGCAGCGAATCGAGACTACGTCTCTTAGCTCGTTCTTTCTTTGTTCAAAGATTTATCCAAACTTTTTCCTTAGAGTTTTTTCCAATTGGACGATAAGCAAATCCCACCTGTAATTTGTCTGCATTATTATCTAGAAATTATCGATTGAACTGTGTCGATAACTATATGTCATAGTGTTAGAAGTAGTAAATGTAATAGAGAAAGAAAATCGTCTTACGAAACTCGAAGCATTTTGTCGTAAACTAATATATCTTATACGTGTTGGATGGATCGCGGCTTCGTGCGTAGGTATAGCTGACGCAGCAATCATCGTTGCTAAGACGATAATGAAACTGTTCATTGAGAACTCGGCTTGGTCGATACACACCTAGCTTTCTAGCCTTCGAACGTCTTTAAATACATACATATATATATATATATATACATATATAAGCGGCTGTTTCGTTATCCAGACAATTTGTTCGACGGTTCCTTTTCGTTCCCTTCTTAAACGAATTCTCCGTTTCAGGCTGGAGTTTCAACGGTGACCGCGTGCTCTGAAAATGGAAATACGATTCGGCATCGAACGATTCAAAGCTACGTTGTTGTAAGAAGTGACAGGTGAAAAGTTGGTCGAGTGTTACAGGGTGTTTCAGAAAGTTGAAACTCGGGTTGAAAAACGGTAGTGGTGCTCGTTGAAATAATCATGATAATAATAAACAATGAGAATATAATTTTTTAATTTTGAATTTGGTCGGTTCGAGAAATCTTTTTACAAAAAAAGTTTCTATTCCCCGATTTTAACGGATTTAGATTTGTCAAGGATTTATTTTGACGATATCACCACCATATTTTTCAACGCCAATTTTCTGAAACATCCTGTACAGCATTATTTGTACACCGGTATTACGCGTGCGCCTTCATCAGAGAGACACTATGGACAAGTGTTCGGGATAATGGAGCACAACGCTCTTCGCCGAAACTTTCTCAATTACGCCACGAAATTCGAGCAAAGCTAGAGCCATCGTGTATACGTGCAGATGACGCGTTCGATTGTTTTCCAATAAACATCGTCCAATAAATTCTTGGCCGCCCAATAATATTCGTCGATTCCGGTTTCTTGTATTCTGCTATGCTAAATAGAATTCTCGATAGACTGCTGCTTTCTCAATTTGATCTCGTTCAGAATTTCTATTCTTCTTCTGTGTATTCCTTTTTTTTTTCTTTTTTTTTTTTTTTCTTCCCCTCTTTGAGTAACCATGTTTTTATGTCGTAATGTCTCGCTTGGAATATTTTTGTACAGCGTAGAATATCGTTGTTTAGAGCATGTACAGAAGCTCGAGCATTGGAGCAGCGCGCTACTGGATTTCATATGGGGTTTCGATGTTCTAAATATAAATCGACATGCACGTTATTTTTCTTCTTTATCGAGTTACGCTTCGCTACACAGCCTTTCCATAAATTTTTCAATTTGACAGATCGTTCTTCATTCTACAGCTAAAGTTTCTGAAAAGAAGAAGAAGAAGAAAAAAGAATTACGAATTAGAAAAAAAACTACTTTCTTAAAATTAAAGGTTAAGAAGCGTTCTTATCTTTACGTAAACAAATCGACGATACCTGTAAGGTCGTAAGGTTGGCAATTGATCGGTAACAAGTTCCTGTGCAGAGATACGAATCGTACGGGTCGATAATCTTTATTTACCTGGTGACGCGATTGAGGCGAAATTTAATTATCTGGAGAGTAGGAAAGATAGGGACATACCTTATCGTGTCGGATATCGCCATCCATATGTTCCCATACGTTCTATCCATATTCCTCTTCTTTGGAAATTATAATATTTAAAAATATATTTGTTAAAAGAAGGTAAACTCTCGTTACAGTTTTATCTTCCGTCTCATCGAACCTGGAAAAGAACAGCATTTCTTTGTGAAGTCGCAGAAGTAGAACGGTGTACGTATTTAGGTTAGATCGACTCGATCGATTTCTCGCCCGTTATCGATTACAGTTTCCTAGCGTGGTTACGAGTGTACCGGTGACCATATCGATTTTAGATGGAGAGAATTGCGATAGTCGTCGAGTTTGTTAGCACGCCAATCACGATGCGATTATTCTGCGATAAATCTGAAGCACGTGCTCTCCCCTGTTCCTTCAATTATCGACGAAAATTTTTATTTCGTACTTCTTATTCTGTCGATTACTTTTTCCATTTACTTTTGTTAATCCATCTTAATTTCAAGATTCCCGAGAAAATTTCGATTATTTATTCAATCGAACAGCTGTTTTCCATCTCTTCGAAAGCATATAATCCAACTATATGGATAGACGATGTATTGTTGTCCCTGTAGAGGTTTATATAGGTTTCCATCAGGTTGGTATTAATTTAATTCTCCATTCGTAGCCGATTAACGCGTTAAATTATGCCTGTTACAGAACTTTAAGCTTCTTATCAACGATACGGATCACGTCGAAAAGAAACGCTTGTACAACTTTTTTAACAAATTTCATTTTTCCATAAAATAAACCGCGCATAAAATTCACCTTCGTATATATATCCTTTACACGTCCATCTGCAAAAAAAAAAAGCGATAATATCTCAACTCATATACCATTCTTTTTTCGATAGTATCAAAAAAAAAAAAAAAAGAAAGAAAAAAGCAAGACATTTCGAGCGATAAAATCAGATGGTCCATCCTATAGATCGAATCCTGACCTATAAACCGTCGAGCCAAATTGATGAGATATTAGATAAGAAGAAATGAGAGTGCTGCTATTTTCTCGTTGATTCGTAGCAGCATCGTGGAAGGCCAATAGGAAGGGCAAAATGGTCACGGGTACGTTACTGCGATCGATCGAGTTATTCTGGCAACGATCCCATAACGCATACACACAACCATCCAAAGCGAATATTACAGTATCGGTTGGTGAAAAAAAGATTCCAGATCACGATCCCATTGTCCTGCGTGAAACGAAACGTTCCGAGACGTTTCTCGATCGTTCGATTCGCGATTATCGTTCCGCGCGATTGGTCGAAGCCGTTCGAGGAGGAGCAACGATTCTCCCGCTTCGAGATATATCGACTCTGGGAGATATGGCGAGGCGCGTGTTCAATGGCGCGTGTTTCGCGGCGTGCGCTCGTTAAAAAAAGGATCGGACGAATTTAGCACGGCGGTTATAAAGAGCGACCGGCTAAGAAAAGATCGGTAGTGTAGCAACAAGTATTCGGGAATTCGAGCATGACAGTGTCGTGAATGCTGTTGTTTCGTTCGCGGGTGCACCCATGTTGCCGATATTGCACGTTCCACGTTCTCCTGGATCGATCCATGTGAAATATTGTGAAAAATTGTGATCTTGCTTGAACCTTAATACCCATCCATTGCACGTGGAAACCTGCATTAACCAATTACCGTTAATCAACTTGTTCCGAAATTGTTCGATCGACAATGCAATAATTAGTGGAATATCAAATAGATTCAAATCGATGACTCGCTTTCTCTTCACCGCTACGACGTTATACCCGTATCCTTTCCTCCGTATGAATAAGCGTATCTTTTTTAACGCTTATACTGCGTCAACAGATAATTTCGACGACTGTTGAGTCGAGACAATAGGGGGGGAGGGGAGGGGGAGGGGGGGAGAAACATGATTCTCGGTTGTCAACATAAGCGTTAAATTCGATACGCGAAGACGGAAGAAGAAGAAGAAGAAGAAGAAGAAGAAGAGAAAGAAGAAGAAGTTCGACTAACGATGAGAAACGATTGATTTCAGAAGCCTCGCTTGTTCCACGGTAGGTCTTAGAGGATGCACAAGCTAGCCAAGGGCCTGAAGAAGAAGAAAAAGCAGAAGAAGGGTAAGAAGGGAGCGGAGGAGGACGAGTTCGACCCGGAGGAGCTCGAGCGTTATAGGCGCGAGCGGGCGGAGGCCCAGCAGAAAGCCGAGGATACCGGCGAGCAGGCAAGCGGCAACAACGCTTCGTCCGACGAGTGGAAGAAGTTCGAGGCGTTGACAGCCGGCGTCGACTCGATCCTCAAGAAGACACAGGGCGACCTCGACCGCATCAAATCGACCTCGTTCTTCCAACGGAAGCCCCCCCTAGACGAGGACAAGAAAAAAGAGGGGGAGGAGGGGGAGGAGGCGGATCGAGAGGATATCCCAGGCAAGAAGAAGTCTTCCTCCACCAAGAAGTGGGTGGGTTTCGACGAGGAGGGGAACCCGATCGAGGGGGAGCCGCCCGATTTCGAGGGGAAGGGGAGGAAGGAGGAGAGGCCACTGGTGAACGAGGACGGTTTCGTCGACGTGCCCGACGACGAGGATGGCCGCGAGGACTCGGCCGACGAGGATATATTCGACACCACTTACGTCGACGTTCTCCAGAATATCGACGTCCAACTAGCTTACATCCCGGACAGCCCCGTCGAGGAGGAGGAGGGGGACGACCCGTTCGACACGACAAACGCGGACAAAGTTCTTAAAACGGTCGATAAGAAAGGGAACAGGTTGGTCAGCCTAGGGAACGCGGTCGAAGTGCTCTCGGGCAGGATCGATTACGTGAGCTCGTGCAAGATATCGAAGGGTAGACGGCCCAGGCTTCAGCAAGACTTGCTATTGGACGATTTCGAGGAGGCAACCGAGTGCCATCTCGCGGCGGACGGCGGTGACGCGGCGCTGATCGCCGAACCGGAAAAGAGGACGCTGCTCGACGACGACAACGATCTCCCTCCCATAGATCTTCCCCCCGTAGATCTCACCAAACTTCCCCCGACCGTCCTCCCGAAACCGGTGAGCCCGGGACCCGTGGAGGAGGAGGGCAACCCTCTCGACATCTCCGAGTTCGAGATCTTGAAGGAGAAGAATATCTTGGAGGAGATACCCGACTTGGACGACGCCGAGTTCGACCTGAGCTGTTGCGCGGCGCCCGATGAGCAGCAGCCTGTGCCGCGCCTCGACGAGGCGGAGGACCCGTTCGCCGCCAAGGAGCCCGAGACCGTGAACTTCCAATCCGAGATAATAGAGGCGAGCTTCGAGGCGGCGACCTTCGTCGACGAGGAGGACCCGTTCGACACCACGTTCGCCGAAAATATATTGCCCGGTAAAACGGAATTGAAGTTCATCGAGAAAGAGTTGGACGAGCTGCCCGTATCCGAGGTTACCATATCGTTGACCGATCCGGCCGGGTTGAACCGGGATTACGAGACAGGTTTGTTGAAAGAGGTCGAGAGATCAGTCGCGACCGGCGACAAGAAGGATCTTTTGGCTGGGTCGACGACCGACCTGAGCCAACTCGCGGACGAGCCCATCGCGCCGCTCGAGGACATCTCGAGCTACGTGGACCCGTTCGACACCTCGTCCGTGAAAGAGATACCGCCAGGTAAGACGGAGTTGAAGTTCCTCGAGAAGGAGTTGCTCGGCGAGAAGCGGGAGGAGGAGAGTCGTCTGAACAACAACGACGACGACGACGACGACGACTTCGATCCGAGAAAGGACGAGCAACAGCGTCCGTTCGAAACCGTCGATTTTCGAGTAGAAGGGGGAGAGGAGGAGGGGAAGGAGGAGGTGAAGAAGAGCGAGATCGGGATCGTCGATCGAAGATCTTCGCGGCCCGAGGTGCTCGAATTAGGTGTATCGAAAGCGGTCGCGTTCGAGCTACCGACACCGTCGAAACGACCCGACCTGCTCGCCACCACCGAGGAGGAGAAAGCATTGCCCTCGAAGCCGCTCACTCCCTATTACACGCAAAAGTCGATCGAGGATTACCTACCTGCCGAGGAGGAGCGAGGGGAGGAGGAGGCGGCGGCCGATGTCGATCCGTTCGACACGAGTTTCGTAGCCAAGGTAGCACCAGGTAAGACCGAGCTCAAGTTGATCGAGTCGGAATTGTTGAGGCAGCAAGAAGATCATTCATCGTCGACGATTGGGAGGCTGCCTCACAGCTTGAGCGACCACGAGTTCGATCCCCGTGCCGAGGGTGAGCCTGTAATCAGAAGGCAGAGCGATTTCACGATAAGGCCGAACGATCTCAGGTTCAATGAATTGCAAAATTCCGTGTTGAAGAAGTTCGAGGAGGTGAATAGGAGAAGGGAATTTGTGCAAGAGAGGCAGGAGAGTCTGTTGGACGAGAGGATCGAGGTGGACGCGAAACCTCTAACGCCAAGAATCGAGACGAGAACCATCGAGGAGGACGAGGAGATCTCCTACAAGGATCCATTCGACACATCGATCGCGACGAATATACTTCCGGGCAAGGCGGAACTGAAGATTCTCGAGACCGAGTTGGAACAGATCCCTGCCGAGATACCCGTGGCTCGCCCCGTCCCGATCGCCCTCACAACCGTGATCAACACAGCTGTTATTCCAGAAGTCGATCCCGATTTCGATCCCAGAGCGGAGGAGAGGAAGGATTTCTTGTGCATCGACGACCAAGATCCCGGTGCGAAGGTGTTGACCCCTTTGCAGAACGAGAGCTTTCCTTTGGGGGAGGACGTGGATCCGTTCGACACGAGTTTCGCGAGTCTCGGGCCGGGCAAGACCGAGCTCAAACTACTCGAGTCCGAATTAATGGAAAAATAAGAAGCTCTCTCTCTCTCTCTCTCTCGCATACATCGTATATTAATAATCTCTCCTTTCTTTACCTTCTCTTCTTTCTCTTCTTTCTCTTCCTACGTTTCATCTTCAATTTGGACGCTTAACGCTTAACGCTCGAATCGGTCGATTCCAAGATTCTCGACATGGATTCGAAAGGAGGGAACCCATTCTTGATGGACGACTACGACGGGATCGGATCGAATGACAATATGGCGGGTCAAGCGTCTAATCCGTTCCTCCAAGACTTTGCCGACGCGTCGGGGACATCTGGCGGCGGGGAGAATCCGTTTCTGAATTTTGGCGGGGACCAATCGTATCACCAATCGGCAAACATCACCGTCGACTCGACGAATCCCTTCGCCTCGTTCGCCACGGACGCAAGCGCGCCGAGCACCGGCTTCGAGGCGGCGACCACCACCGACGCCACCACGGCCAATATATTCTCAACCGAGGCGAAAAACATATTCGTGACGAGCGGCGACGAGTCGAATCTGTTCGATGCCCCGCTCTCCTCCCACTCGTCGGAGGAGTTCTTCGGCCAGACGGCGCCACCGCCGTCGCCGGCTACTGTGCAGCAACCGGCCAGCAGTCGAAAAACGCGAGAGCGGCGCCCTCTAGGCCCCCTCCCCCCAGGCCACAACCTCCTGCACCTCCTAAAAACACCAAAGACTTGATCCTGTCCGTGACCGGTGCGATGGATGCCACTTCGAATCATCTTCTGGACCGATTACAAGTTTGTATACACATATACGTACATGTACAACGCGTGAATCTCTTCTTTTTTTCATTCTTCAAGATCAATCTTGATTCCATCCTCGCTCGTTATTACAGGCAACCAGAACGCCTAGCCCAACTTTGATGCACTCTCCGTCTCCGACACCGGAGCACAGTTTCGCAGACTTTTTGGACGTCGACTCGAACGTTCCCGACTTGATGTCCGACGACAACAGCAAAGCGCCGATCGAGCCGCCGAAGAATCAGGACATATTGGATTTGTTCGACGCCCCCAACACGGACACGACAACCACGACCATATTCTCCTCTTCCACGATCACCGAGGACACGGCCAGTTCGGGGACAGGGGTGACTCTGATCAGCGCCACGACCCAGGATAATCCATTCGTCGGTATCACGGAGCAACAAGCGTCCCCTGTTCAGCAGGCGGACGAGTTTCAAGAAACCGCGTCCGTGGCAAGCGAGAAGAGACCCTCCGTCTCGTCCATGACGGGTGCCGTGGGAAGCGACACGGAGAGGACCGGTGTCGACATGGATCTCGCCGCGGAAACGTTGCAATCATCGAGCACGGGGAACGAATTGTTCTCGACCACCGAACAATTGTCCACGTCCGTGACCGAGTCCACGTTCTTCTCCGTCGCGGACACGACTCCTTCGGCCCCGTTTGGAACCGCGGACACCGCGATCGCGCCGTTCTCGACGCCCATGCAAACGTCCACCGCGCAATCCCTGTTCACGACCTCGGAGATCAGTGTGCCCTCCGCTCAACCCAGCGGGCCTTTCGCTTCCGACTTGCTCGGCGACTTTGGCGAGCCTACCGCGACCGACATAGGTGGCGCGAGGTCGACCAGCCCGACACCTGGCGCCGAATTCCCTATCAGCGAGGCGTACAAGCCCGAAGAACAATTGGACAATTTCGCGGCTACCACGCAGAAAACGGCAGAGAGCGGCGGGGATGCTTTCGATATTTTCGCCTCGAAGTTTGACAAGGCCGCGGAACAGGAAACCAACGCGGGTGATCCTTTCCTGGACGCTTTCGGCGGTGGGCCGACCGCCATGGACACGTCCAGCGATGGTAAACCAATTTTTATCTTGTTTCTCTTCAAAGAGTAGAAATTGTATTATACTTTGTTGCGTGTACTGTGCTCAGTTTGGGGCGATTCCTCTGCGACTGGGTCAGAGACAGCGGTGACAGGATTCGGGGAAAGCGACGGGTTCGACTCGTTCTTGAGCATGACCGCACCCCCACCAGAACCGAGTGTGAAGAGAACCGAGTCCGTAGATTCGGACGCGGGACCAGATTTCAGCGTGTTCATCAAGTAAGAATTTGTTATTTTAAATTTTGTCTCGCGCTCTTGTAAACTGTAGTACATCTTTTTGTTCCCACTTTTCCCAAAAGGCCGAAAGAAGGTGATCAATCTGGAATCGAAGGTGGAGCTGTTCCTGTGCTGGCACCGCCACCGAAGAGCCCCCAAAATACCGCCTACGTCGATACCTCGCCACGTTTCAACCCCTTCGACAAATCTGGATCTGCGCAAGACGCCATTCCTACCACGGAAACTGTTCAACCTGAAATCACTAGGACAGATTCTCAGGTACTTTGTTTGTATTGTAACACGATTTATTTTAAGATGAAGGTTACATTTTTTTTTTTTTTACCTCTATCCAGGAAACTCCTCCGACACCTCTGTTCGACGAGGATGTTAGCCAACCTCTGGAAGATTTCCCGAGGGTAACGTACACCGGTGATGGTTGGGATATGCATCTACGTCAACCTAACAAGAAAAAGATAACCGGTCAACGATTCTGGAAGAAAATTTTCGTCAAGCTTGTTTATCAAGGCGACAATCCTGTGCTCCAATTGTTCAACAGCAGAGAGGATAAGGATCCCTTCCAAGAATTGCCCCTAGTTCCTTCTTATTCAGTTTCTGATATCGGAGCGCAACAATTTGATCAGTACGGAAAAATATTTACGGTGAAGTTGCAATATATTTTCTACAAGGAACGACCCGGGGTACGGCCTGGTCAGGTAACCAAAGCGGAAAGATTAACGAACAAGCTGAGTCAATTTGCCGCGTATGCCATTCAAGGTGATTATCAGGGGGTTAAAGAATTTGGAAGCGACTTGAAGAAACTTGGTCTTCCTGTGGAACACGCGCCACAGGTATGATAATAACGTTTCTGCATTGTAGATAAATATAGAGAATTGTTTTTCAAAATTGATGAATTTTTTTTTTTCTCTCTCTCTCGTATAGATTTCTGAGCTGTTCAAACTTGGCTCCCAATGCTACGAGGACATGAAACAGTTCTCTTGCGCGATAGAGGAAGCTCTATTCAGATTACCTGCTCATCGAGATCGAGCGCTTAATTATAAGACGGAGGACGTGCAGATAACCGTGGTAGATGAACTGTACGTGGAACAGAACGCGCAAGGTCAAGTCGAGAAACAGATAGCTCGTGTTCGATTGTTCTTCTTGGGCTTCCTTTCTGGTAAGACTTTGTCAAATTCTTGGAAATTCATTTTATCCCCAGATTAGATTATCGTCGAAATCGTTGGAATGTATCATAATTTATAATTCGATTATAAATCTAGGAATGCCCGATGTTGAGTTGGGAATAAACGACATGTGGCGCCAGGGGAAAGAGGTAGTGGGTAGACACGATATAATTCCAGTTGTAACCGAGGAATGGATCCGCCTTGAAAACGTCGAATTTCACTCTTGCGTTCAACAGGACGAGTATGAAAAATCTAGAATCATAAAGTACGTATCTTATTAAGATATTTACATATGTCTTGATTACCTCAACTTTTTACAAGATGTATACATATTTCCAAATGATAACTACAACAATACTAACGAAAGACTGCATTGCGTCTCTAACACGTGACTAACACTTTTGAAGGTTCAAGCCACCGGATGCATGTTATATCGAACTTATGAGGTTTCGAGTAAGGCCTCCTAAAAACAGAGAGCTTCCTCTTCAACTTAAAGCTGTAATGTGCATTACCGGTAATAAGGTAATGTCACTTTTCATTCTCAAAAAAAAAGAAGAAAAAAAAAAAA